CCAGAGATTCCAACACCCTCTTCTGGCCTCTAAGGGCACCTGCATGCATGTGACATATCCTCACACAGATGCACACACATACACATAAATAAAAGTTAAACAAACTTTCAAAAACTTTACATATTTGAACCCATTTACGTATACATGTACACTTATTTTCTGTTTATAAAGTCATAACACAGAGAGTATATTCTGAAAGAGTATCTAAACCAAAGAACTATGCTAACAGCAATAATTTGTAGATATCTCTAATCCTCTATAAATATTTTTCATCCATGTAACATCATACTCAGAGGTTACGCGTTGGTTAGTTTTATGTCAAATTAGCACAAGCTAGTCACCTGGGAAAGGGACTCTCAACTGAGAAAGTGTCTCCATGAGATTGGGCTATCGACGGGCCTGTTTAGCATTTTCTGAATTGGTGCTTGGTGTGGGCAATCCCACTCAGCTCTGGGCAGATGGTACAACAAAAGCAGGCTGAGCACAACCCATGGAGAACAACCAGTAAGTGTCTATTCTTCCTTCTCTGCTTTGGGTCCTCTCTCAGGTTCCTGTCTTGAGGGCCTGTCCTGACTTCCTTTGATGGTGGATTGTTATGTGAAGTCAGCAAACAAACCCTTTCCACCACAATTTGCTTCTGGTCATGATATTTCTCATAGCAAGAGAACCCCTGACTAAGATGTGGTCCTTCTTAAGTTCTCCCCATTTTCTCTCCTTCACACATCACAGCTACTTTTGTTCCTCTCTAGAAAAAGCCTACTTTAAAAACCCTGCAATCCACATCCTTCCTCTCTCAAGTTTACTGCCCCCACTTCCTGATCTCTATTACAAAAGCCAGAGATTTGGTATCAGAGTATGCCCCCCCCCCCCAGAAGGGAAGGCTGTCATGGGCAATAGTCATTGTCTGTTCTGTCTGGGGTCAGGGGTAAGAGGTGTTGGGCAGGGGCAGTATGTTGGAAGTGCTCCAGCATTTATGATCTGTAACCTCTCTCATATGCATAGAAACATCTGGAAGGACATACACGAAGGTCACAATGTTAGCTGTAGTCATTCTGGCAGATTACAATGGGTTTACTTTTCTTTGTTTGGCTTATCTGTGTGTTCTAATTTTTTTAATTATTATTATAAGCAGTCATTCCTTCATTGTTTTTTTCTCCTTTCAGAATTTCTGTTGATTAACTCACACACACACACACACACACACACACTTTCCCAGTATTTTTCACTAGAAAGTTGAGAAGTGGATATACTAACTTGCAGGTTAAATAGGCTTAAAAATACATTCTCTATCCCAAAATGGGCCCAGACAGACTTGGCACTCAAGCTCACCGTCAGTCAATGTAGGGAGACTTTACTTTTGTATATATACACACAAGACATCATAAGTGAGCACAAGGGAAGGGAAGGGGCAAGGGCCAGGTAAGCCAGTGGTCATGGAACCCCTCATCTGAAAATGGACACATCTTTTATGTGTACCTGTGAGACTAAGCAAGGCAACACACGCGGTAGATTCCTCACAGGGTAACCATATCACAGGTCCTCAAGCAAATGTGAATACCCACTGTATGGATGTCTTTCACCTAACAGCCGATCAATGGCTTTAGACATATAACTCTGCACTGAGAGCTATGAAGGCATAACACAGACTGAACCCCAGAGGAGTTCAGAACCCCTGAGGAGCAATTGGTAATGGTTAACCACTTATTGCCAGATTTACTGTGAAGCACTGGGGTTTATATACTGATACTTATATCCTCCTGGTGGCTGAGATCATCTTAGTAATTATTCTATATCTGTCCTTGTCTCAGAAGTCTATTCCTGCTTTGGTCAGACTACATACCTATGGGGTGGTAAAAGATCTGTTTGTGTGTGTACAGTGGCCGACGGCTTTGACTTTTCAGTGCCTTAGCTTTCTCAGATGTACAATAAAAATAATCATATGTGTTAATATTACAGTAGGTTATTGAAAGAGTGAAAAGAGTCAGTGTATATGCAAAGTTCTAGGAACGGTGCCTGGCATGTGAGCTTCTCATCACTGTCAGCTTATAGGATCCTCCTATAGGATCGTCCTTCAGGGGCAGATCACAGTTTTATTAATTGCTGTATTCTTAACACAACCTAAAAAGCGACTAAGGCTGAAAGCAGTATTTGTCCCTTTAAAACAAGGACAAACATGGCCCCATTCTGCAGGCAGAGGGCTTGAAAGGTGTTTCCCTTCCTAGGTGGATATCAGATGACTCAAAGGACTATCGTGTTAGGAGGATGTGGCCCTTCCTAGGACAGTTAGAATTCAAGAGACAGTGTCTTAGCTGGGGTTTCTGTTGCTGTGGTGGAACACCATGAGCAAAGCAACTTGGGAAGAAAGAGGTTTATTTGCCTTACACTTCACAACACTGTTCATCACTGAAGGAAGTTAGGGCAGGGACTGTGTCTACTTTCCTGTAGCAAAGATAGTGCTACCCCTCACTAACCTAATTCAGAGAGGTGCCCTGCCCACCCACCCACCCACCCATATTACCCAGCCCCACCCCAAGGATCTTAAGGAGGAGGGGGAGAGTAAGGTAGGTTACTAAGACATGCACTCCTGCCCTACCTAACACACAACCCTAAATATACACAATATATTTACTTTTCTGACTATAGATGCATATAACAGCAATGAAAAGTGGCAAAATCATAGCTCGGTGACATTAATCTCCCACCTGGGAGGAATCTGGCACCAAATATCCATTATATATTAGGGAGAATTGAAGATGTAGGGAGGAAAGCCACGTGTGGGTAGCAACCACCATTGATGAGCCAGGAGCACAGCGGGATATGTCCAGGACAACACACCCACCTCCAGACAACTTCGAGAAAATTGTTTAACTGCTCTGGCCTCAAATTCCTCTCCTTTACAATGGAGCTTGAATTGAAGACCCTTAGGCTTTGAACGTCAATTCCAAATGTTCTCTGTTTCATATAGAAATGATCTTCTAGAAGTTGGATTCGTTATCTAAAGGATATCTCCAAGCAAAATCTCAACAGTTGGGGTTGCCAGCTTTTAGAAAACCCACTTCCTAGACAATAATTAAAAGACCTTTCTCTAAAACTGTCTCAGTGGCATGATTTGTCCTCGTATAAAGGGATAGTTTTATGTTCTAGCCCATGACCTGCCTTTGTATATGTTAAAATTAAAAAATTGATACTTGAAGTTGCTTACTATAGTTATTTGCTAATAAACCTAGTCTTAAGGTACATGGAAAGCCTAATTTTGATCTTGAACAACATACAAACAAATTCTAACTCAGTCACAAGAGTAGAAGAGATGCCTAACTTCTTTTTGCTGCTAAGTTAATACTAACAAAAAGTAAAAATGATTTTTACAACATCGTCTTCGTTAGGATTACTGTTGCTATGATAAAACACCCATGACCCAAAGCAAGTCTGGGAGGAAAGGCTTACACTTCCATATTTGAAGTCCATCACTGAAGGAAGTCAGGAACCTGAAGACAGGAGCCGAGGCAGAGACCATGGAAGAGTGCTGCTTACTGACTTGATCATCATGGCTTACTCAGCCTGCTCTCTGATAGAACCCATGACCACCAGCCCAGGGATGGCACCACACACAGTGGGCTTGGCCCTTCTGTGTCAATCACTAGTTAAGAAAATGTACTACAGGCTTGTCTATAGCCTGATCTTACAGAAGCATTTTCTTAATTGAGGTTCCCTTCTCTCCGACGACTTTAGCTTGTGTCAAGTTGACATAGAACTATCCAGCACAAACATAAATATATCACAGCTCTGACTTCTGTGATCTTTGTGAGCAAGACTTGCCCATGTGAATGAACTCCCCACTGATACCTTCCTACAGCGTTTATTTTATGCATTCAAGTGCCTCATATACACAGTAATTCAAATTCACGAGCATCTGTATGGCTAACAGCTATACTGGTAATGAGCGTGTTAATGCTGGAGACTACCTTTATCATGTCTGTACCCTGCCCTACTGCTCTAAATCTTCAAGGAGACATTCACTAATTCCTTGTTCAACCCTCTGACAATCACTATGTCATCCTTTTACATATGTTGAAGTAGAAATAAAACAGCTTTCCAGGCTGGGACATCCTTAATGCCCTTGTTTTTAGTTTCTCTGTGCACCTTAGATCTGTCTCTTGCCGTATCAGTTTCTGTATCACCTGAGCCATCCCTCATCTCCTGCTTTTTTTCATTCTGAGATTTGTGCATGGCCAGTGTGACAGTGTGCCTTAGAACTGGTAAAGAATAAGCACTCACAGGCATTCCACAGAACATAATACACAATTTACTAAACATCCCTTCATCAATAGGCAACCTAAGCTGACAGGCCGTGTAGACTTCTCTGGGAGCTAATCGGATTCAGTTATCTACCCTGCTCAGTTCTGTAGCTAATCCATGAATGACAGGGGCAGGTGAAAGAGAATGTTCTAGATCTACAGACCGCAAGCTTGAGCAGACATCTGAATCTACTGGCAAGCTCATGGAAGCAGGACACTGGGCTCCACTCAGAGCTGTTCATTCATGTCACACTATGCTTGTAGATCATCTGTGTGTAGAAGGAAGATTGTGTTGCTCCCTGTTATAAATGGAATCAGGAAACCAGCGATTTCCTAACCAATGGCTGGACCCAGGCTCATTTGTAGTGACTTGCCGTTCTTTGGGATATAGGCTACACAGTGCTCCAGATTCTCATACCCAAAGGCATCAGAGATTTTGAGAATGCCATTAATTTAATCAGTGAAAGCCATTTCTCATTATTATGCTAATTAGCAAGTCTTCCCGAACTGGTATAGCTTTGGAGACCTGAAGACGACAACGTCTCCTGTAAAACCTAGCCGACAGCTCCTGTCGTGGGAATTCCTAGACAGAGCACATTGAATATGACTTAAGTTAGCACAGGCTCCTTGACTAATCAGTCCCAGTGAATATTTTAAGCTACAGAAAAGCACTTCATTAACAAATCACTCTGTTTGATCCCACAGACTGAGCCTGAGATCATAGAAGAGACCAATGTGGACAGAGTCCATGAGCCACGGGGCTACAGCAGGGCACGGCAGGTGAAGGGCCACTCAGAGACCTCCACACTGAGCTCGCAGCCTTCCATCGATGAGGTCCGGCAGCAGATGCACATGCTTCTGGAGGAAGCCTTCAGCCTGGCATCTGCTGGCCATGCAGGCCAAAGCCGGCACCAGGAGCCCTATGGCTCCACTCAGCACCTGCCATACTCAGAGGTGGTGACCAGTGCTCCGGGGACCATGACACGGCCCAGGGCTGGAGTGCAATGGGTGCCCACCTACCGACCAGAAATGTACCAATACAGTCTGCCCCGGCCGGTAAGTCTCACCTACAATCTTTGGGTTTGCTCTTGCCACTAGATTCCAACAGGGGACCCAGAGCAAGGATTTGGGAATTTAGAGACAAGCTGTGCTGGAGTCTTTTCTCACACTTCACTCATGATCCACAGCCAAACCTTGGTCTTGAGGGACAAGTTCCTGTGGAACCTATGTGAAACCCTAGCATATTTCCTTTTCTGCTATCACCCCTGAAAGGGTTAATCCATTCTCTACTCACTGGTGGTCTTCTCCATTTTCAAACATGAACCTTAACTTAAATGTCATAAGGTATCAAAGAGCCCTGTGTGAAGGGCCTGTGTGTCGTGCTGGCCAAGAACATAGGCCGTGGGCCAGGTAAGCAGCTTGACCAGGAATCCCACCTCAACCACTGTCTGGCTTTGGAACTTCAGGAAGTTGCTTTAAGTTTCTGCTGGTATGAAACAAATAAATATGAACAATAAGCTACTTCCTGGTTAAAAAAAATAGGAAGTTCCTCCTAAGTATACAAAAGCTGATATTATTTATTATGCGTTTGCTGAGCTGGGCATGGCTTGTGAGTTACATAATCTGTGTAATGAGCCTCTGAGACAAGTACAGTGTCATTTTACAGAAGAGGTTGTCCAGTCCCCTAGAAGCTTAAGTTATATACATTTGTGAGTTGTCATTTTGGTACTGGGAATGGAACCCTCATCTTCCAAAAGAGCATGTTCTTAACCACTGAGCCATCTCTCCACTCCTCAGCACTCGGCATATTAACCATCTTAAAGTACACAGTTGGCGATATTAGACACTTTCACATTCTTGTGCAACTATTTCTTCGTCTTACAAACATGATCTTCTGTACTCATTAAAAGATAACTGCCTTGTCTTCCCTCACAGTCCTGGAAGCCAACACTCTACCTATGTCTATAAAGTAATCTTTGTCTGTATGTGATTGGTATACTTCACTTAGCATAAACTTCAAGATTTGTCCATGTAGCGTGCATCAGAAGGCCCTTCCTAAATTTTAAGGCTGTATATACCACACTGTATCATTTTGTCTGCCAATGTGTAAGGACTTGAGTTGTCTTCACCTTTGGGCCACAGTAAGTTGTAGCAATACTCACACGGGTATAAAAATATCTCTTCCAGTTCTTCCTTTCATTACTCCTCCTCACAGTATCTACCCATGAGGAGGAGTACTGAGTCAAACAGAATTCTGTTTTCTACTGACATATTGTTTTCTGCAGTGGTGTGCCATTTTTCCTTCTCTCCAACAGTGAATTTTTTTTATTTCTTCACATCTCACTGACGTTTGTTACTTTCTGGTCTCTTGACAATAGATATCCTAAAGAGTTTGAGGTAGGTCTCATTATGATTTTTTTTTTTGCATTCCTGTAATGATACTGTGTTAAGCACCTTTCCTGAAATGGCAGTTTCATTTGCCACTCATATGTCTTCTTAATATAATTTAAAACATATACTTCTGAGAAATGCTCAGGTCTCAGGAATATAAATTTGTCATTGCCATCAGAGAACTTTGATGGATACATTCAAGAAGCCCTGCATTTCTAAAAAAATGTCAGCAACTCTAAGACCACCCAAGTCACATTCCCAAAGGTTCATATCTAAAAGGATGGGAAAAATCCCACGTGGACTTACATGTCTGCCATTATAAATGCTTTCCCATGCCACCATTCATATTACAGTTTCTAAGGTCACAGTGTTCTGACAATGCACATGACGTTGGCACTGCCCCATTGGGGAAGAGAATTTCCTTCCAGAGATCTATAAAACACCCCAATCTTGACAATTATATACCCCTCCTAGGAAGTTGACCTCTGGAAAAGGCCACTCATATCCTTTCTGTGTTGATTGCCATCAACTTCAATCTCATTGACTCATTTCCCTTTATGAAAATCCCTAAACTTGACCCCCAGCCCAAAGTGGAATGGCTCCACCAACCGAAGGATCCTAGGAAGCAGTTCTAGACTCAGAGTCTGCATATTGTGGTGGTGATAAGCACAAGTCTTGCACCAGCAGACACCCTAGACTTGTCGGGTGATAATCAGTAGACTGCTTGGCATTGTGCCAGCACATTAAATTACTTGACAATGTCAATTATTATCCAGATAGTTCTTCCGCGTTGTTGGGCCTGTAGTCTATGTCTTTTTTCAACTTTCTGAGCCCACATCTCCCTCTGCTCTGTTAAGTCAGTTTAAGACATACCCTCGATGTCCCATCTCAGAGTCCCAAGCAAACTTTGCTTTTGTTCGATGACAAGTCTCAGGAGCCACTGGGCCCCTGGCTGGAAGCTGATTCTGAGAACCCATGATAGCTCTGGGCTTCAGACAGAAAGCTTTATATGATCAAGACAAGTCTTCTAATTGGTGACAAGTGAGAAGTTGCCATAGCCCTTACACCTCAGCTCAGTAAAGCCATTTAAAAGCACTGTGGGAGATGTGAACACTTTCTTGTAACTATGCATGTACTTCATAGCCATAAGGATTGAAGCATAAACCGACCTGAGGGCAGACCATCAAACCAGAACACACTGGAAAACATCTCTCCATTGTCAAGGTTTCCTTCTCTGCCAAGTGTACAGAAGATCCTGGTCTCCACGAAAGAAACTAGCCAACAGTATGCAGTGGAATTGATGATGCTTAACTCAAGACCTTGCAGAGGCCCCTGTGCTGTGAAAATGGGAAAATCAATGGGAAAAACAGTGATTTAGCAAGATAACCATGATTACCTTTTGTCTTGCAAATAAGAGAAAGTTCTCCAAAGTCTGCCAGGGGATAATTGGGAGCTGGTGTTCTTAATGTGTCAGGGCCAGCCTCGTGGCATTTATATCATAGGAAAGGGTACTGCTAGCATCTTGGGATTTCTGCAGTGCAGTTTGGGAAGCTTTGATCATATTTTACCTCTTGAATCTATAAAGAAATTGGACTCGACACCTAATGACCAATCCAATTTTGCTAGCAGCTATAATGGGTCTATGCCAAGTGGAATGAAAATATCCTACAACTCTCCTGCTGTCGAGAGAGTAAGGATTCTTAAAAAGACATCAGGGTTGGAGCACTTTTCCCACTAGACTCTTCACAGAAGAATTAACAATAATAATAATAATTAATTAATAATAATAATACTTGCCATCTACTGAGTTCCCATTGTTTTGGTTTTTTTGTTTTGTTTTTTTTTTTTTTTTTTGGTTTTTTGGTTTTTTGGGTTTTTTTTTTTTTTTTTTTTTTTTTGGTTTTTCAAGACAGAGTTTTTCTGTGTAGCCCTGGCTGTCGTGGAACTCACTCTGTAGACCAGGCTGGCCTTGAACTCAGAAATCCGCCTGCCTCTGCCTCCCAAGTGCTGGGATTAAAGGTGTGCGCCACCACCTGGCAAGTTCCCGTTGTTGAATGCACACTGATGTAAGTGCTGTGTAGACATGCTCTCCTATTACATCCACCCCCTGTGATATCGCTGTCATTAGCCCCAAGTACTCAGTTAGGAAACAGGTTTGGAAAACTAAAGAAACTTGTTCCATTTATAACAGTCACCCCTTGATGTCCACAGGAGACAGGCTCAAGACCCCTCAGAAGGCAGCAAAAGCCCTCAATACTCAGTACTCAAATTCCTCATGGGCCTCATTTGTAAATGTGCCCCACACATATGCTCCAGTGTCACCTCTAGGTTATTTAGAAAGATACAATTCAGACGCTATGTGAATAACTGTCATCTGCCTTGTTTGGGGAATAATTATAAATGTCTGTGTGTGCTCAGTGCAGATTCAGTTTTCTTTTTGAATACATTCCATCTGCAGACGTTTGAATCCCCAGTTGTGGAATCCTTGGGCCCAGGGGCCAAGCTAACAGCTCTCAATGGCAGAAAGGGTTAAAACCTATTGCTGTCTGACATTGACGCCCACATGATTTCCATCCTCTGATTAATGTGAACTGTAGGGATGTCCTTCCAACTATAATGAAAATGCAAATATCTACCCTTGGTGTATGTTCTCCTCATAAGGAAGCTGACTCGATTGGAGGAGCTTTTTCTATTCCTGTCATTGGTCATTGGAGACAAGTCAGTGGGTTTGACAAGCTTGTGTTTCTCCTTCCCCCTTAAAAAAGAGTCCTCTCCCAAACCTTTAATAATAAACCATGCCAGCATATCAGACATGTTTATAGCCACCACAGCAGCTGGAGTCACAATATATCACATTGCTCATATTTCTCCAAATAAATTTGACTCTGTCCTGAGCTTCCATCTGGCCAGGTGGGTAAGGAATTGGAGGGGATGGTCCGACCCATGACTGTTGATCATGCATTCTTGTGGGGAAAATTACAGGCCGCAGCGGTGGGGTCTGGGGAGGCTTCCACACTGCGGCGGGTCCCACATGTAGGCAGGAGGTCTAACATTCCAGCAGCCTGGAGGCTTTGGTGGTGTCAGGCCCCAATGACAGGAGGAAGTCTTTGGTTCCAAAAGGGTTTATTGTCATGGTGGATGGTGGATGGATGGATCTGGAAGTGCGCCCCGTGAAACTCAGGCCAGTCCCGAGTTAAATAGGGAGGGGGAAAGGGGGAAGATTGGGGGAGGATCGGGGGAGGATCTGGGGAGGCATGCTTAATTTGCTCTGCCCTCTGGCCTTCATTAGTATGTAAATCTCTAGGCCCTGGGGCCTCTAGTCACATCCTCTACCTGTTTACTTTGGGAGGGGCTGTAAATCTTTGGGGACTAGACTGCTTTTCAGGACCCTGGATTCTGGGCCCCCCCCCAACTCCTGCCAGTTCTCACAGAGAGTCTCGAGGTTCTAGGCACCTGCCCAGCCATGAACCAGAATACCCTTTCGAAGTCCCACACATTGTGAAGGGGGGTGGGGGGATGGTCTGGTCTGTTACTGTTGATCATGCATTTTGAAGCTCTTGGGACTCCTGAAGGCAGGATCACTGTGCCATGCTAACACAAGGCTCTTTGTCCTTGATTGTCCCTGAACCCTGCCTGTGAAAACTAGCAGAGCTCTTGATGTTTGA